GGGAGACACCGACCAGAGCACATGGCTGCAGCGAAGAGGGTGTTGCGCTACTTGTGCAGTACGTCGGGCATGGGGCTAGTGCTTGGAGGGCGGAGTCCAGTGGTCCTCACTGGGCACGCGGACGCTTCTTGGGCTGACGACCAGGCTACGCAGCGGTCGTCGCAGGGTTACACCTTCAGTCTTGGTTCCGGCTCTGTCTCGTGGCGGGCTACTCGCTCGTCCTCTGTTCTCGGCTCCAGTTGTGAGGCTGAGATCTACGCCGGGGCCATGGCTGCACAGGAGCTTCGCTGGCTCACCTACCTGCTGACTGACCTTGGAGAGCAGCCTCGTTCTCCTCCAGTGCTGTACGTAGACAACAAGGCCATGCTGGCCTTGTGTCGAGAGCAGCGCTTGGAGCACAGAACGAAGCACATTGCTCTCCGTTACTTTCTTGCTCGTGAGCTGCAGCAGCGTGGTCAGTTGCGACTTGCGTACGTGGCCTCTGAGGCCAACACTGCTGATGTGTTCACCAAGGTACTTGCGCCTTGTGACCATCAGCGCTTCTGCACTCAGTTGGGTCTTGTACCTGGCTTGCCTCACTTGCTCTCCTCTTGACCTTGCTTGTACTGTCACATATATATACCTGCTCTTGCTTGTCTAGCTCTATATATATATGTGCACTCCTGCATGTGAACTGGCCTTGTGGCCTTGTCGTTGTGCTCGGACTGTGTGGTGACTTTGTGATCCACCCTGAGCTTGCTGTGCTTTGCGTGACTGGTCTTGTGACCCCTTGTTCTCCCCACTTTGCCTATGGGGGTGTGTCAGAACATATATATAGCTTATGCTGTTGTGTAGGCTATAGTGGGGTATCCCATAGGGGGTACAACCCAATTAGGGTTTCCTATATGTACTCACTTCATTCATAGCTCATCCATTAGCGTTCTCCTTTTCACAGGAGGCACATGACGGATTACCTCAGGTCACTTCGGGGTAGAAAAAACGCGACAGCAACTGCAGTGGTACTACTGCTGACCGGAGTTGTTGACCCACGTACAGCACCACGTGGGATCGTGCCCCACGTATCAGGTGATGAAAAGCTTGCGCAACAAAAAGGCGGGGATGCAGCCGATTCCACCGCCCGAACGAGCCTGGCAGCAGGTTACCATAGATTTCGTCACGGGGTTACCTTGTTCATCGCGGCCGTTGTTCGACTGCACGTGATAGCAGCCGCAATTATTAGCAACCGCAACATGAAGTTTACCAGCAACTCCTGGAAGAACCTCTGGGAGCAGTTCGGGACCCGGCTACAGTTCAGCTCGTCGTACCACCCCAAGATTGGCGGTCAAACGGAGCGTACGAACCAGACCATGGAGCAGCTGATTCATGTCACGTGCGACGACCCGAAGACTTGGGAGCAGGAATTGCCGCTGATCGAGTTTGCATACAACAACGCCACAATAGGTCGTCGAGATTCTGCAAGCTGCCCGGACGCGCGCAGCAGACGCAATGAAAAAAAAAAAACATATCTCATTGCTAAAAAGAATGCCGACCGCCACCGCCGCCCAGTGATGTACCAGTCAGGAGATTACGTATTACTCGACACACATACCTTACGGCTCCCCGTCGTATCGAAACTTCGACCGTGCTTCTGTGGACCTTTCCAAATCAGCCACATGATCACCCCATTTACCGCCCATCTCATGCTACTGTCAGACTGGTACATCAGCCCGTCGTTCCACGCCAGCCTACTTTGCCAATACCGTAATCCCCCGTATATAAGACCCTAGGGTCTTATGATAATCACCCCAAAAAAGGCTAATTAAACGATATATTTTTTAGAAGATCCGGGTCTGTTCATATTCACATTTATAAGAATGTAATTTTGGAGCTCAAAGAAGTGATTTGGAATTGCTCCGTTTTTAGCTCCTCCCAAAAATACTCGAATTGGTCTCCACACGGGCCGAACCCACGTCATCACGAACCTATCTGGGAGCCTCCTCCCATTGGCCACCAACACCACTTGGTGTTCACACGACAGCGCAGGGCACCGTTTGATGGCCTCGGCCTTCACACCGCATGCACGCTTCGTGCGGAATATGACAATTTTCAATTGCACTTTTGTAAAATCCGCACTTCTCTAGGATGTGGGGGGGTCTTATAATGTTAGGAGCCATTTAGGGGGCTATAACTCAGATGTACTCGAATAGAGTACCCGGGTCCGTATTATAGACCCGGGAGTCTACAACTGGGGGGGGGGGGGGGGGGGGGGGGGGTCCTATATACGGGGAATTACGGTACGTCATCACCACGACTCAACTGTCACGCCATCGCCCGTCATCGATGACGCGTCGTGCATCGGAGCCGATTGTCGGCCCCCCCTTCCAAAATAATAATAATAATAATAATAATAATAATAATAATAATTCTGAGCCATCGGATTCGCCACCCCACGGGAATTCAGAGGATTGAGCTCTTTCTTCGTTGGAAGGGCCGCACCCCCACGGAGGAGAACTGGGTGCCCTGGCCAACATTGAGAACCACCCTGCCTTGCAAGTGTACCTGCGAAGCCGGGGTTTCCGTGATATACCCGCACGTGCGTAGTGGAGGGGCTTCTTGAGGAGGGGGGGAGTGTAAGGAAATTTTCAACATTCCTTACCGCATGTTTCAGTACTTTGTACAGGACCAACTGTTGTTCGCCCGTTACTGCTCATGGGGCTTTGCCAACCTTCGCACGCTGCTTTTGCCAAACTATGCATCACTTGCCTGGCTGAGTCAGCCTACGCTTTGGGACTAGCCCGAACCTCTATGCTAGCTAGCTCGCACGCACCGCGTAACAGTTTGCATGTTTTTGTGTAAGTATTCGCTCATGCCTTCGCTCATACTTTGAGCTCATTTGACACCTTAGTGCAATACTCGCTACCTAGTTCCATTGCACCCGTAATGACAAATTCCTTACAATAAGACATTGTTGTTAGTTACTTACAACAACAATATGAAAGCAGACGCACCGCCCCTACGAGAAAACAACGTGGAATTTCTGTACAATCCCACAAAGCCGATTGGTAGTTGCACACCCGGCAGGACCTACGATAACCCGGTGGATTTGATGCCTAGGAAAGGTTGACTGCGTGGTCGTGCAGGAGTTGACGATGGGTGTCCGAAAATTGATGGATGATTCTGAAGCAGACCTTGGTCAACGATATAACGTTGACGGAGGTCGTGCAGTACAGCTGCACCGGGCAGGTGGATTCAGCCACTGTCATGAATTGGGGCACCAGAATGATTTTCATCCCGCCAGCTCAATATCAACGAAGCTCGATGACACAAGACCTGGGATGGGAGGGAATCTGGGATTTCCTCCGAACTCCAGTTTCCACGATGGCTAGCGAGGTTACAGAAGATTTTGTTACATCCGCAAGCCTTGCAGTCACGAACCTGCAAATCCGCGGGCAGTTGAAACAGTACTGAGAAAGCTACGTGTTGACCCCCGTCTTAGGGGTGTCAGAAGTGACAGTGCGCTCGAGGGCATGCGCTGGCGCTCGCCAGCCCGCACCAATTTTTGCGATGTTACTGTAGCGAGGTCAAAGTTACAGAATGGAAAAATTGCGTGATCAGCAAGGAAACTCGACATTGTCTTGTTTTTTTGCCCAACTATGATTATCAACCACAACTGTATTTGATTCAAACTTTCGCCTTTACGTTCACTTCCTCGCCAAATATGCCATGTGGCGACGTACTAACGGCTCATAATTAGGGTTTTTTATTTTTTAATAGGCTCCGCCTGGGTTCATCCCCGTGTTCCCTCTCGCTCGAGTTGCGCGAACGGGCACGCGCTGGGGCGCCCCAGGGGCGCCGTGCCAGCATCGGTTTTGCGAGAGTGGTTGAAGCCGCCCTTCGCAGTGCGACCGCCGCACGGGACCTGTGTGCAACGGGCAGGTCATGAGATACGAATGTCAGATTAGTATAGGCAGCTGGCAGCGCCGCAGGTGGGGTCTGTACAGGTGTAAGATGGGCATATGGGCCAAGATTCCGTACTGATCAGTGACATGCCTGCGACAGTGTAAAAAAATAATCATTGACAGAGAATCGTTCTTCCTGTGTCCTCCCCCAGGTGAGTCCGCTCAGCCTCTGCACAAAGTGGCTCGCGGAGCAAAGCGTGGACTCAAACGTTGACCTAGTCACATCCCCCAAGTCTCAGCAGGGTCGTCGCCTGTGGACTCAAACGTTGACCACTCATGGTAGTACACATGATGCTCTCCTCCTGCACGCGAAATTGCCTTGCACCGGATGGAAACTTGCACCCGTGGGTTTTGTGCCGTGAGGTTGCACCCACGTTACAAGCACGTCGACCAATAGAAACCACAGAAACTGAAGTCTGACTGAAGAGACTGCAGTCAAACAGTCAACGGTGAGTTACAAAAGTTTCTTATAAGCCCTTTTTGCCCGAAGCGAATTGACGAAACCTCCACGAAATGCAAGAATCGCTTATAAGCTTAGAGGGTAAGGCAAGGTCGGGGGGCTCAACCAAGCATCGTGTGTACCAAGAATGTTCTGACCCGGCGTCAAAAACAGGACACCCGTTGGTCACCCTGAGAACCCGGATCTCGATGGGTCAAAGCCCAGGTCGCCAAGGTGATGTACTCTTGACAGACTCGCCATACTACTATTACTACTTACTACTTCTTCTACTACTACTAGTACGTTCTGCTATACTTGTACTAGTCCGAGTGGCGCGTTTTGAGCAGCCAAAGCCTTTGCTTCGTTAGTAAGCTGCTGCCCAGTCGAGCAGGCCTAAGCAAGCTGAGCATCAAACATCAACTTCTCTGAGAGTGCTACCACAGGCCCGGACAGGCCCGTGGCAACCACACCCCTCTTTCTGTGCGACTCAGACAAAAAAGGGTCAACTTCTTCTCCAGGAGTACTCGGAGGGCACCTCCGCGGGTAACCCTCATATCCGTCACGGAGAGTCTCCGACTCTGCCATTGCCGTCACGAGTTGTCGTCCAACTACCTGCCACGGCAATGGCAGAGTCGGACTTAGCCACTCCCAGTTTCCACGGGCCCCTGGCGAATCCGCAGCAAGCTCTGCCTGGCCCTCAGCCGCTGGGCAGCTGTGTGCCTTGCCACTGGCAAGAGAGAGAAATGAAGGAGAAGTTTGAGTGGCCCGGGTTGGGAGAGGTGGTGGCGGAGGTGGTGGCTTCCGATGGGCACAACTGGCTCAAGTATGGACAGAAGAAAGTGAAGCACTCAAGTGCCAGGTCAGTCTTGTTGGCTTGCGTTGAATCCCGATTGAGTTCTGTTGACTCCTGTTGCCTCTAGTGCCGCGCGTCGTGATGGTTCTGGTTGACCATTGTCAACCCTAGCTTTGTCCATCATCTCAGTTGACTCTGTGCTGTGTTGTCAACCCTAGCTTGTCCACCTCATTTGACTCAGCGCCCTTTGTGCTGTGCGAACCCATCCCCCTCGCTCCGCCAGGTACTACTACAAGTGCAGCCTCTCCAAGGCCAACCCTCGCTGCCCCGCCAAGAAGACCCTCGACATCAACTGCCCCGACTCCATTCAAGTCACCTATCGATGCCGCGTCCACAACCACCCCATCACGCCCAGCCGGCGTTCGCCTAGCTACCCTAGCGTCCCCCTTTCGAACCACCCAGCCGACCGCAATCTGGCTTCAGGTGTGGTTGGCTCTGAGAAACCCGGCGCCGTTCGACTCGTTATTTCTGATGGGGAGCTGAAAGGCCTCATGCTAGCCTTGCAGCATGAGAGGGAGGGAGTGACTGCTTCTGGTGCTTCCCATGCTCGTTGTGCTGCTGTTGATGCTGATGGTGCCGCTGCTGGTGATGTTGCTGGTCGTGCTGGCGCTGTTTCTGCTGCTCATGGTGGTGCAGGTGCTGCTGCTGCTGCTGTTTGTGCTGCTTCTGCTGCTGCTGATGGTGGTGGTCGTGGTGGAGGTGGTGCTGCTAGTGCTGCTGCTGATGGTGGTGGTGCTACTGCTGATGGTGGTGCTGCTACTGCTGATGCAGAGTGGGCTGCAGCAGCCCTCTTGCACTCCCCCTGTCAGGAGGAGCAGCCACGCGTGTCTCAGTGGCTGCGCTCGTGCGACCTTCCATCGATGTCCTCCCTGCAGATTCAGCACCAATTATCTCCTCTGTGGATAGATGGACTGAACCCCCTTAATGGCTGCTCCACTGACCTCAACAATAACACTTCAGTTGACATGGAGAGGCCTACAGTGCCTGAGGAGTCGCCTGTCAGTAGCCAAGGAAAGAATGAGAACCATCAATCGTATGATGAGGAGGAGGGTTCAATGGATGAGGTTTACTCTCTGCTGGGAGAAAGAGCGCCTACAGACCAAGAGCTCCAAGAGCTTTCCCTGCGATACAGTCTCAGCCATGTGAGACCTCTATCTAATGATTATGAAGAGACGGCAATTGACGGCTGTGCACTGTTACTGCAGCAGTGGCAGCAGCAGCAGCAGCAGCCACATCAGCAGCAGCAGCAGCAGCCACATCAGCAGCAGCAGCAGCAGCAGCAGCAGCAGCAGCAGCAGCAGTCACGGAATATGACAGCTTTCCTGCTGTCAGTTTCCGATTCTATCATAAAGTGTCCTGCCCTTGACATTCTTGGGACTGTACCCACTGTTGTTCCTGCTGCTGTGCCTGCTGCTGTGCCTGCTATTCTCTCTGACCCTAGTGTCTCTGCCTCACCATCTCTCGCAAGCAATCCCTTTAACATGCCGACTCAAACAGGCACCGCGTTATGTCATGCAGCTGAAACGAGGACTCCTCATATGTGTATAACTGGACTCCCCATTGCCGATCCGCCCACCATAGCTGAGCTGCCCACCGTCGCTGATCTGCCCACCGTCGCTGATCTGCCCACCGTCGCTGATCTGCCCACCGTCGCTGATCTACCCACCGTCGCTGATCTGCCCACCGTCGCTGATCTGCCCACCGTCGCTGATCTGCCCACCGTCGCTGATCTGCCCACTGTCGCTGATCTGCCCGCCGTCGCTGATCTGCCCGCCGTCGCTGATCTGCCCACCGTCGCTGATCTGCCCACCGTCGCTGATCTGCCCACCGTCGCTGATCTGCCCACCGTTGTTGATCTGCCCGCCGTCGCTGATCTGCCCGCCGTCGCTGATCTGCCCACCGTCGCTGATCTGCCCGCCGTCGCTGATCTGCCCACCGTCGCTGATCTGCCCACGGTCGCTGATCTGCCCACCGTTGCTGATCTGCCCGCCGTCGCTGATCTGCCCGCCGTCGCTGATCTGCCCGCCGTCGCTGATCTGCCCGCCGTCGCTGATCTGCCCACCGTCGCTGATCTGCCCACGGTCGCTGATCTGCCCACCGTTGCTGATCTGCCCGCCGTCGCTGATCTGCCCGCCGTCGCTGATCTGCCCGCCGTCGCTGATCTGCCCGCCGTCGCTGATCTGCCCGCCGTCGCTGATCTGCCCGCCGTCGCTGAGCATTCAGCTGCACAGCCCTGCGCGGTGGAAGATCCACACACAGCACCCACAACACCCACGGCACCCACAACACCCATGACACCCATGGCCACTCCCAGAAACAGCAGCACCAATTCTGACAAGCCAACCAGCATCTGTCATACGGGTGACAGCAAGGCCTGCGGTACCAGTTACAAACCCTGCAGCACTGGTGACAAGCCTTTGAGCTGCGAGTATAAGCCCTGCAGCACCAGCTACAAGGCGTGCAGCACAAGTGGCTCAAAGGTTGATGTGAAGCGGCGCAGGCAGCACTTCTCTCCTCTGATTTCTCATCCGCATGGCAACGCACTCAAACGCCAACACCGTATGGGTGAGCATGAACTGCTCAATGCATCAGTGACTCGATCGACTGCTTCCCACATGCCACTCCTTGCCAATAAACTAACAGGTGCGGCTGTCGTCATGGGTGTTGGGGGTGTGTGCATGCGAGGTGCATCAGCCATGGCCGCAGTAAGCGATGCAGTTTCGATACGAGGAGCTTCAGTGAAGCAACAGCTCCTCCGATGTCCCCTACCATCAAAGGTCTCAAAGCTCCAAGTATCACTCGAATCCTCGCTAGCAGCCCTGCAGGCTGTTCAACATGCAGCCTTGGTGCAGCGGACACCCCTGAGCCAACAGAGTGAAGACCGAGTACCCATAGGCCCAGTGCCTAGGGTGGGCTCACTCCCAATTGAAACGTTCCGAATGCAAGCCCAGCAGGGGCTGGTTGGGTCATCACCTCGGCAGGAAAGGGTGGCGCCCTTGAGCCCAGCGCAAGTGTTTGCGTTTCTGGGAGGGACCAGCACTTCCCGGGTTTCAGACTTTGTAGCGGCTGGCAATCGGCAAGAACTGCAGTCGTGGCTCGACAATGCAGCTTAGAATGGCCATTCTTTTTAGATTCGAAGGATGAAGAGTAGAATTAGCATGGGTTTGTTGCCTGGTCGTGTGTGTACTTTCATGTAGGCCAAATCTGGCGTACATATGCCTCGAATATTTTTTCATGCGTATTCTTGTTTGTAAACATCGAAATCAGGGCCTCAGATTCGTTTGGGGGTACACTGAGGCCTCAGGGCAGTTTTTAGGAAATCAGAATTTGCCCTGAATTGTCAGGGCTGCACAGGGTGAGGTATCCTGAAATGCCAGTGCTACATTTACCAGTATGGTCTAAATTTAGTGCTACATTCAGCGATAGGTGAAGTGTTGTAGCGTGTAAAGTGATAATGCGATACGTAAAAGGTCTCTTGTTCGTTTCCTACTGGCTCCTATGTTTGAGGTGCTCGCCCATACATACTTTAGCCCCAAAACCCAGGAGATTTTTCGTACAGTACATCTCGCCTCAGAGCGTGATTCGACACTATCCTGACTCATCAGGGCTGAACCTACAGCCTTATCCTGAGTTTTCAGTACGCAAAATAACCGTTATACTGAAATTACAGGACAATTATTCCTGTTATGCTGTTTTTCCAGGACTAGCACACGACACCTATCCTGAATTCAGGAGAATCAGGATAAATTATCCTGATAACTGAGGCCCTGATCGGAATACAGTTGTATGATTACGTATGGTTCAAGGAACGCCAAATCTGGCACAGCAGTGCTTCTCCTTTGTGGTAGACTGTCGTCCGGCTTTTGTATTCTAGGTGTCACATATACACTCCCACAAGTGCTCGTTGTGTGGACCCTCTCCGCCTGAATGCTTGTGTGAAGGACATCCTCGCTCAGGGCCACCATACCAGCACTTTGTTATCAGCATGTGGCTGGAATTTCAGGTGCTGGGGACAGACTCGAGGCACTCCAAAGTGACTCAAAGGTTACCTCGCAGTTTGCTATCAGCATGTGGCTGGAGTTACAGGTGCTGGGGATAGACTCGACACGCTCCAAAGTAGATGTCGTTGCAAGCTCAACATACCAGCGATCTGCTACCAGCCTGGACGAAGGTGGGGGAAGTGAGGAGGGGAGGGAGTGAGGTGGAGGAGATAGGAGGGGATGGAGGGAAAGGGAGAGTTACCAGGATAAATTGATGTCTGACGAGCCGTTTTAGATTAGGTTGCTCAGCTCTGGGATAGGATGAAAATAAATGAGCGTAACAGCTGCTTGAGCAGTAACGTAGCATCTGCACATTGTAGCTATTAGGCACCCCAAAATGGGTGATCTCACTGAACACAGCATCGCCTTGGGCGGTAACATTGCCTACCTCCAACTTCCACCCACTGCCGTCACACACACCAGCAGCAAAAGCACCATCATCACCAGTATCACCACCACCAAAATTACCAGCAGCAGCACGATCAGGAGCAGAAGCAATAGGAGCAACACCACTACCACTGCCAGCACCATCCCTCGCTTCTTTCCCTACACTTCCACGAACCCCATCCCCATGCACATCCCTCGTCCCATCCTCGTGCCAATTCCTCTTCCCATCCCCATACCCAAACCCAAGTCCTATCCCCATGTCCATAACATCTCCCATTCCCATACACATCGCAAGTCCCATGCCCATACCCTTCCCTATTCCCATCTCATGACCATCCCCAGTCCCATTCCACGACCACCCCCCATGGCCATCCCTTGTCCCATCCCCATGCCCATCCCTTGTCCCATCCCCATGCCATCCGTGATCCCAACCCCATGCACATGCTTAGTCCAATCCCCATGTCCATCCCTACACCCACACCATGCACATCCCTATTCTCATTCCCATGCCAATCCCTAATTACATCCCCATACACACTCCTAGTCTCATTCCCATGCCCATCCCTATCCCATCCCCATGCCCATGCCAAGTCCCATCCACATGCCCATCCCTAGACCCGTCCCAATACCCATTCCTACTCACATCCCCAATAACATCCCTACTCACGTCCCCATTCCCATCCCGTGTCCCATCATCATGCCCATCCCTATTGCCACACCCATGGCCATCCCTAGTCGTCCAGTCTCCATCCCAATGCCTATGCCTAGCCCAATACCCATCCCCATCCCTAGTCACATCCCTATGCCCATATGTATTATCATTCCCATGCCCATCCCAACTCCCATCTCCATACCCATCCCAAGTCCCATACCTATGCCCATAGTCCCATCCCCATGCCAATCCCTACTCTTATCCCCATTCCCATCCCTAATCCCAAAACCATGCCCATTCCTAATACCATTTCCATGCCCGCCCCTAATACCATTACCATTCCCAACCCCTAATACCATCCCCATGCCCATCCCTATTCTCATCCCCATGCCCATCCCTTGTCATATCCCCTTGCCCCTACACATTCATATTCCCATGCCCATCACTAGTCCATCCCCATACCCATCCATACTCCCATCTCCATGCTCATCCCTAATACCTCCATGCCCATCCCTATTTTCATCCCCATTACCATCCCTAGTCTCATCCCCATGCCCATCCCTAGTATCATCCCCATGCCCATCCCTAGTCTCATCCCCATGCCCATCCCTAGTCCCATTTCCATGCCCATCCCGATTCCAGTCCCCATAAACCACATTTAGTCCAATGCCCATGCCCATCCATAATTCTATCCCCATGCACATGCCTAGTCCCATCCCCAAATCCATGCCTATTCCCATCCCCATGTCCATACCTACTCTCATCCTTATGCTCGTCCGTTTTCCCATCCCCACGCCCCTCCATAGTCCCATCCCCATTCCTATCCCTACTCCCATCTCCATGCCCAAACCTATTCCCATCCCCGTGCCCACCCATCTACAAGCCCATCCCAAGTCCAATGTCCTTTCCCATTCCTAGTCCCAATCCCATTCCCATCCCTACTCACACGGTCCCATGCCTTCCCGGTTCCCATCCTCATGACTGTAATTAGTGTGAAGAGTCACTCTACAACTGTAGTTGGACTATGGGAAAGGCACGGGTTGTCTGAGTGATCGTTGCGTTTGCTTGTGTCCTCTCTACGCACACATTCACGGGGAGAATTGGCAAGAGTTCCACTGGCAAAAGTTCAGTACAATGATAAAACAAACAATGGCAAGAATGACTACATCAGAGCCTAGCAACCTAGCAGACACTCAAATTGACTGCCAGCGCAGCAAAGTTGACAACCTGCCAGCGTTGCGTAGAGGCACTGCGCCAGCACAACAGAAAGTCGGCCTGCCATCAGAGCAACTTGCCAACGCTACTGTAGAGCGGTCTGCCAGCGTTGCATCTGCAGGTGACAGTAGCGCATGTGCGCACCCGCTTCGTAGATGTGCGGTGACGGTCGAGCACGTTCTCTACCGTCGTGCAGGAGCCAAGTCGGCCACGTGCCAATGATTACGTCTGATGCTCCATGTCGACCTCAGGATACTAGCCCGAGGTTTCCCTCGCTATCGCAGCCTCGACGAGCCTCGTGTACCTCCGCGGAACCTCGCCGGAGTTACTTGGTCGACTGCGTCGACCTCCCAACGCCCTGGTCGACGACCTCCCTCGTCGACCACTGCTCCCGTCGAAGACCACCTTGCTTAACGGACCCCTTCGTCGACCAGCTCGGTAAGCTGCCGTCGAACTGCCATCTTCGACGGCCTCCTCGACAGTCCCGCGCAGATCGGCGATCACCTTCGTCGACCACTCTCCAAGGCAGGTCGACGAACTTCTTCGTCGACCGCACGGTCGAAATCTGCCGCCAGCTTCCCATCGTCGGCTGCTCCGCAATAGTCTTCTGCAGGTCGACCAACTCCGTCGACCTGCACGCCTCGACCTCTGCGGATGGTCGGCCGCACCTCCTACGCACCCGACCACTACGTCAGCTTCGCCCAAGCGAGGCCGGGGCCAACAACCTATTCCTGTCAACACTTAGTCCCTTCCCTATGCCGATATTTAATCCCAGCCCCACGCCCGTGCATAAATATATCCGCATGAAGTTCCTCAGCTGGGGACGCCCATCCCGTCCTAGTGATGGCTCCAGCAGCTCATGCCTGCTAGCCTCACAAGCGATGGGCGTGGAACATCACTAGCCATCCCCATGCCAATGCATAAATATATCCGCATGAAGTTCCTCACAGCAGGCATAGATTTAGCCGTCCTACTGATGGCTCCAACAGCTCATGCCTGCTGGCCTCCCATATAATCACAGCTCACTCAGGCCATTGTTGCTCATAACCCCATCATCATCTCCTTCTAATACTTGTCTTCCAAGCCTTCCAACCCCTGAGCCATCTATTGAACCATCCCGAGCCTTCTCGTCAGCTTTGGAAACCTTCCAGCAGAGCTCCTCCAGCCACACTGCCAGTGCAAGCACAGCCACACCTTGGCACAAGTGCAGGTCCAGTGACCAAACGGGGCCAGCGAGGCTTGGGACAGGTTGGCTCGGCGGTGTTTGATATGGCCCAAACCTCTGAGCCTCCTCTGTTGCCCCCTCCACCACTGCCCCTTGCCCCTTCGCTGATAGCAGTGCTGTACGCCGCCACGTCAGCACACATCCCCCGCCCATGCATCTCCTCGAATAGCTCCGCTCACTCCAAAGCTGGTGGCTCCTCGGGCGCCCCAGCTTCCGAACCCATCGCCGCATCTGCTGCTGGTGAGGCAAGAAAATCATCAATGAGTGTCCTCCTCTGCTGCTACCTGTGATGCGAGACATGGCCTACATGCTAGCCCGGAGAGGCCACTGCAGCAAAGGCTTCAGCTATGGCGTTGCATGCAGATGAGGAAAAAACGAGCCGGTGGCAGCCGCGGCGGTGTTGATGGGAAGTGGAAGGAGGAGGGGAGAGCAGGGAAGGGATGTTAAGATGGTCTCTCATCATGTCACCAGAGCCATCACCCCCTAAATGAGCCATATCCATCACCCATCACCATCATAGTCATAACTAGCATTGACACCATACTCAACTCCTCGTCCTAACACCATTCCTATTCCCACAGGCTCGTCTACCCACCCCTGTGACCCCCTTCCATTCCCCTCCCATGTCTTCCCCTCCATTTTTCCCGATATTTGCCCTTCCACCATCATCCCCCCACCCATCATCCTTCCCCCCATAGTCTCTCCCCCTATCGCCCCCCCCCCCCCCCCCCCAGTTTCCATCCCCCACGCTCCTCCCCCCTTTCCCCTCACCACACATCCCCACTGGCCCAATCCTCCAACCTTTAATGCCATTCCCGCAACTCCTTCCCATGCCGATTCACCTCCGTCGATGCAACCTGCCCACATCGTTCCCCCACCCCTCCCATCTCCTGCCTCACCCATCCCCATGTCCCTTGCACCCATCAAAACCATTCCCATGTTCCCCACACCTATCACGCCCATTGCCATGTCCCCTAGTCCCATCCATAGTCCCATGTTAATTCTAGTCCCAGGTCCTATCCTCATACCCATCCCTACACGCATCTCCATGCCCATCATCATTCCTAAACCCATGCCCATCCCTGGTCTCATCCCCATGCACATCCATATTTGCATCCTCATACCCATGCCTAGTACCATCCCCATGTCCACCTCAGGTCCCATCCTACAGAAAAACCCTAATATCATACACATGCACATTCATAATCCCATCCCTGTATGCACATCATTGCTCCCATCACCATGCCCATACCTAATCGCATCCACATGCACAAAGAAAATCGCATCCCCATGCCATCCCTAGCCAAACCACATGCACATCATTACGTGCCCATACCTCTCAAGACACATACCCATGCCCATCCCTAGTCCCATCCCCATGCCCATCCCTATTCCCATCCCCATGCCCATCTCTTGTCCCATTCCCATGCCCATCCACATACCCATCTCTTTTCCCATCCCAATAACGATTCATAATCCCATCCTCGTAACCATGGTAGTACCACCCTTATGCCCATCCGTCTCTCAATTTGCCCGTCCCCACTACCATTCCATACCCATTCCTAATCTCATACCCATACCACCCTGGGTCCATCCCCTTGACCATTCCTATTTGAATCCCATACCCATGTCCATTCCTAGTCCCAACCTTATGCTCATTCCTATTCGCATCCCATACCCATGTCCATTCCTAGTCCCATCCCCATGCCCATTCCTATTTGCATCCCATACCCATGTCCATTCTAGTCCCATCCTTATGCCCATTCCTATTCGCATCCCATACCCATGTCTAGTTCCATCCCCATCTGCATCCCTAGTCCTATCCATATGCCCATCCTTAATCTTATCCCCACGCCAATCCCAAGTCCCTAGTTCCATGTGCATGTACATGCCCTTCCCTACTCCCATCCCCTTCCCCAATCCCATCCCCATGCCCTGTCCCATCCAAATGCTCATCCATATTCCTACTTCCAATCCCACCCCTAGTATCCATCCCATCCGTAGGCCCATCCCCTTGCCCATCCATGTTCCCACCCCATTCTCATCCCTAGTACCATCCCCTGCCATCCCTTGTCCCATGCCCATGCACATCCCATGTCATCCCCATGCCCATCCCTTGAATTAATTTCATGCCAATCCCTATTCCCGTCCCCATGCACATACCTCATACATGCCCGAGCGCATCCACATCACATGCCCATGCACATCCTTCATCACATACCCATGCACATCTCTAGTCCCATCAGTCCCTTGGCCATGCTGGTGGAGTGTGGGCCACACCCATGGGGCTCCACTGTTCGGAAATTCCTTCTCATGGGTTTGGCAGCTAGGATTTGCCAAGTCTAGATGTACAAGGCTTTTGTATATGTTGCTTGCTTCCAGTCTCTGCCCCCTCCCCCTTGTGTTGGATGTAAGCACCCATTTCTTAAGCGCGTGTAACATCCGTATGCAACAGTGAAGTGCGCTGAGGCATGCATATCATGTGCACATATCAAATGAGCTGAAATCATTACATAGGAGCCATTATTGTATTTTTGACCCACTTGATAGGTTTTGACCGCAAATCATTGTTCAAAATAAACCAGCAGAAAGTTTCTCACGTCTTGCCACAGACCAGGCCTGAAATGCTTTAAGGCATCGCTCCCTGCTGTTTTCCCTGCATCACTTGCTATCGGCCACTTCCCATCCACCCATTCCCTCAACCCATCCACCTCTGCATCCATGCGCCCATACGGATCACTACTGAGCGCTTTAAAGGGCAACTCACTACAAGCCATGAAGTCTCTCACAGCTCTCCGCCCTTGTGATGGCTCCAGCAACTCATGCCCACTGGCCTCCAATATAATCACAGCTCGTGCAGGCCACTGTAGCTCATAATCCCCTTCAATATCTCCTTTCAATACTTGCCTTCCGAGTCTCTCTCCTCCCGAGCCTTCCACTAAACCATCCCGAGCCTCCTTTTCAGCTTTGGAAATCTTCCAGCAGAGCTCCTCCAGCCACACTGCCAGTGCAAGCACTGCCACCGGACCTCGGTACAAGTGCAGGTCCAGCGACCAAACCGGGCCAGCCAGGCTCGGCACAAGTAGGCTTGGCGGTGTTGGATATGCTCCAAATCTCCGAGCCTCTTCCAGGACCAAACAGGCTCGGCGAAGCCTGCCAAACCTGCAGAGAGCTGCGGCAAGAGAGGCAAACAGAGGGCGCAGGGAAGCAGGGTGGGCACTGCCTTGGACGCTTCGAAGAAGCTTCCTTAAGTCATGGAACAGAGCCTTCTCCTGTGCTGATGAAGCATCAAATCCTGTCAGCTGTTGCCGCCGCTCCTCTCCACTGCCCTGCGAGCCAAATCTCCCAACCACCTCTTGCTGCCCCACTCCTCTGCTCTCCAAGCCTCCCTCCAGCGACTTTTGAGTCAGCTCAAAAGTTACTCCTCTGCACTCCAAGCCTCCATCCAGCGTCAAGTCCCATGTCATCCCACCCTCTACCAGCGACAGGCCCAGGAAGCGAACGAGAGGGCGGAAGCGAGCAGCCTGTAGGGAGCAGAGCCAGGGAAGCAGCAGGTGGGATTCTGCTGATGCTGCAGAGGCCGTCGCAGCAGTAGCAGTCGGCAGCGCAGAAGCAGGAGCAGCAGTAGCAGTAGGCAGCGCAGAAGCAGGAGCAGCAGTAGCATCGGATGATATACATTCCACTTGTGTTGGGGTATTCTTTCTGTCTGTCTCTGCCTGTGCTTGTGCCAGCAGCAAGAGCAGGGCAGCAGCGCACACCGCCGCTTCACTCATCCCCCACGCCTCCACCTCAAGCACCTCCTCTGCTGCCCCCTCCACCACCGCCCCGTGCCCCCTCGCTGCCAGCACAGCACTGTACGTCGCCACGTCAGCACACATCCCCCGCCCATGCATCTCCTCCAATAGCGCCTCCGCTCTCTCCAAAGCTGGTGGCTCCTCGGGCGCCCCGGCTGCCGAACCTATCGCCGAAGCTGCTGCTGGTGAGTCAGCTTCGGACCATCTGTTGCCAGCTGCTCCCCCTTCACCCTCTCTCTTTCTCAAAGTGTCAGCCAAACCACCACTGCGGCTACGACCAGCATCGTCATCATTATCAGCAGAGGTAAGAAAAGCATCGATGGCAGTCAAATAGCACTCCCTCTCCACCTCCTCTGCGGCTGCCCACGCTTGGTTCTCCCCATCCAGGAACCACTCTCCCCTTCCTCTCATCCCATCTCCATCACCACCCAATTCAAATCCATTCCTACCCCTACTCTCACCCACTCCCGTTCCCCTTCCACCACCGGAATCATTCCCTAAGTGACTTTGCACAACTCCCGCCTGCCCCACCTGCCCCACTTGCCGCGCGATTCCCAGCATCTCCCTCATCCTTCCCACCTTCCCTGCAGCTCCAAACGCCTGCGCTGCTGCCACGTAAGCGCCAGCTGGCAGGCTCCGGACTGCTCCACTTGGCGACACGTAGGCGCCAGCTGGAGTCGTTTCCAGCATACCCCGTCGCACTGCCCGCTGCAGAGCCGCCTCCATGCCCGCCACGTCAGCAACAGCTGCGCAGGCGGAGAGGAGGGCGGCAATGGTCGTCTCGTCGCGGGCCACTCCGTGCCGAAGCATGTAAGCCATGACTCGCCTCACGCCGCCCGGAGAGGCCACTGCAGCGTAGGCTTCAGCCAAGGCGTTGCATGCAGATAAGGACAAAATGAGCCGGTGGCGGCCGCGGGGGTGGTAATGGGGATGAGGAGGGGGAGAGGAGGGTAAAGAGAAGACTTCTGTATGGCCACTTGCCATGCCACCATACCCATCACCACCATAGTCATAGGTACCATTGGCACCGTACTCAACCCCTCCACGTACCGCCATCCCTGTCCCCATAGGCTAGTCAACCCACCCCCTTGACCCCCCTCCATTCCCCTCCCATGTCCTCCCCTCCCTCCCTCCCCATATTCGCCCCTCCACCATCATCCCCCCGCCCATCATCCTTCCCCCCATGGTTTCTCCCCCCATCGTCCCTCCCCCTAAACTTCTTGCCCCTATCCCCCCACCACGCACCCCCACTTCCCCCATCCTCCCACCAACGCCCTCCCCTGCAACTCCCCCCCAATCTGAATCACTCGCACCCATGCCACCTGCCGCCATGCCACGTGCCCCCATCCTTCCCACACCTCCCTCATCTCCTGCCACACTCACCCCCATGCCCCGTGCACCCATCACACCCATTCCCATTCCCCGTGCACCGACCCCCATCCCCCGTGCACCCATCCCCAAGGTCTGAGCCCCCAAGAACAGAGCCTCCATGTGGGAGAGCATGCCTGCCCGCGCGTATGCCTCCACTGCTGCCGACACCACCCCCATGCCTCCGCCCCCCGCCCCCACCCATGCTTGCAGCCGCGCGGGATCGGCCAGAGCGGCAGGGGGGAAGGATGAGGCTGAGGAGGTGGAGCGGGACGAGGAAGAGGGAGAGGAGGCGGGAGAGGAGGAGGGAGAGGAGGTGGAGGAGGGAGTGGGGCTGGAGGAAGGGGTGGTGTTGAGAGGGTGCAGCTGCAGCAGGCACCACTCCATCTCTTTGATCTCCACTGCAGAGGCAAACGCCACCGCTGCTGCAGCAAG